GGGTCTGGTGCAGCTTCTGGAGCTGGGAATCGAACCATGGTCCTATGTGCCTGACTGCATTTGCCCAAGCAGCACTTTAAATAACTGAGATATCTGGCAAGGCCCCTGTTTTATGATTTTGGGGAAGGTGGCTGCAGTCGTGTTTGCCACCAACATGGAGTCTGTGAATGGAAGCAAAATTTTGTTGAATGTTTTTGTTTGAGAACCAAATTATTTTCAAACAGAAGTGTTTGTGTACCAAGGTATTACTATGTGTGTATCTATGTATGAATATACTAAATAGAAACTTTCACAATACTTACCAGTGCTGTGCTAATGATGCATTATTAAGTTTTTTAATGTTGAGCTTGACCAGCCTTTTAAAAAATGAAACTGATGGTGACCCACTGATGGCTTAAGATCTGCAGTTTGAGAAACACTAGTCTTAAGTATTTGACTCACTTAACCATTTCAGTAATTCCAAAAGTTTCTTGCGATGGTGAGATGCCTGCAAGCTTAATGTAGGTGTGCTCTCTTTGAAACCACTTCTGAAAGTCCTCAGCGCTGTCACTGCTACTCAGAAAAGAGCAAAGGAGCATGTTGGAATATCACAGAGGCTCTGTCTTGCCACTCTGGAGAACTAAGTGGTGGATAGTTAGCAGCAGCTGACCACATACACGTGACACCTGCAAAGCCACACTCTTGGAAGCAGCGCTTTATCAATCCAGCACGCCTGCTGATAAATGTCTCCTGCCGATTTTTTAAGCTCCACCTTGTTTTTCTGCAGGGTGCGCTGATCTCCAAGCCCTGGACACAATGCAGCCAGCTGAGAGGAAGAGACAGGGCTACATCCACGAGCTGATTCAGACAGAAGAGCGGTACATGGATGATCTGCAGCTTGTCATTGAGGTGAGGGGCTGTCCCTGCCTGGAAGCTAAATTGAAGCTTTACTTCTTTCTCTTTCTTCATTCTGTGCTGGAGATTGAACCCAGAACCTCACACAGGCTAGGCACATACTCTCCAGATTCACCTCTGGGTAGGCATTTCTTGATGTGTGGATTCCCAGCAGCCCTCCCTGCTTCAGAATGTTGTGTGCAGCACCTGGGTGATGCTCAAAGGCCATCAGTCTAGTGAGGGGGCCAGCTCTGTTCCCCAGCTCAACTTATACTCGAGCAGGGAGAGAACAAGTGAACATGCAAATGCCCGAGTTGCATGCGGAGGAATCAATCCCAAAGGGACGGGGTGCAGAGTATACATAAAGGCCCCAACCAGACTTGACCTCAAATTTTGCCTGTGAATTTACGTGACTGTTTTGACATCTGGCATTTTCAACTCTGTCACTTCCAGAGGAATCACAAAAAAGTGCAAATATTCACCTAATGTTTGTGTCAGTTTAGAAACCTAGAAGGAGAAAATTGTAAAATCTTTCCCAAATGCTTCATATTTACTTTCCCAAATACCTTATATTTACTTTCATGTTTACACCTGTTACCAGTGGCCACTACGCTGATGACAGCCATCCTTATTAAGCATAGCTCTTTATAGTGGATCCTGTTCGAGTGAGCCAAGGAAGACTTCATACTTATGTTTGTTTCCATGGGTTTCAATTCCCAGTAGATGTGTCGAGGCCCTCAGGCACGACCAGTAAAATAAAGAAAGCACCTGAGGAGGACAAGTGCCCACCTGGGCCCAGTGGCTGCAGCATACCCCTGGCCATGCCCTTCATAGCGAAGCAGAGAAGAGGCCTGGTCTAGATCCTTTCTCTGCCCTGAGTGCAGCCTGGATGCCTGGAGTGACCATACACAGTGCACCTGTTCCACCCAGGCCCTACCCTGTCCCTCTTGGTTGGAGATAAACCTCTTCCCCCTGAGCCTGTGAGCTCTTTGAGCGCAGAGATGACAGCCTGTCCTTCATCCAGGGTCCCCAGAACAGCCTTGCCTCTCTGGTCCTTCCCCAAGTCCTGAATAGATTAGGTATGTCTGTGCCTGCACTTCTCTGACTGGGCCCAATGGCCTGGAGCCCTGTGAGTATCAGCCCTGCTGCTGGTCAGTGCCCAGTCTTAGGGGCTGGTAAATGGCCATGGAGGTCTCTCTGGCATCAGGTGAGCAGACAAGTGCTTGCCCAGCTCAGGCAGCTTGCTTCACCACTGGGCCTTGGCTCTTCCCTGTCTGCATTCCTCATGGGATGCTGTAGGGACCAAGTTGGTTGGGATCAGGGATTCAGCGTAAAGAGCACCATTGCCGGAGACACCTGCCTATCACCCAGTGGGCCCAGTCTTTGTGTTCCCTTTGCTTCCCTCCCTGAAGCAGCACAAGACGCCACATAGAAGAAACAAAGTGGCACAAAGCCATGAATAAGAAGGTACTGGGCAACCAGAAGCCACCCCTGCCCTTCAGTGGCAGCCTTAGAGCAGAAGGGCTTTCCAGCGCCTGCTCTCAGAAGGAGCTTCTGGCATCCGGGTGTCATGAGGCCAGTGTACTCCCATTAGAGGGAATGGCCACTTCTGCCTAATTCTGTGACTCCACCTTAGCTCAGCGCACACTGTCGAACCCTACCATGTACAGCACAGTGTGGCAGAAATTAGAGATGAAAGTGAAAGCCCCTGTCCCCCACAGTTCACAGCCCTGCTGGAAAAGGCAGGCCGGGTGTGCTGAGGGCTGGGCTCAGAGGAGGGGCCACCGCCGCTAGAAGATCTGCCAGTCAGACTCGGGAGGCCGAGGTGGCAGGCATGTGCAGCGGGTAAGGGACCTGCAGGCTGTTCAGCGTGGCTGGAGTGTCCAGCACCCAGGGTCAGCTGGTGGAGTCAGCAAGGGCTGGATCTCATGGAGCTGTGGGCCTTGGTGGAGCTCAGGTCTGCTCATGCTGCCAGTGGGGACCCTTTGTGGAATTTCAGCGGGGCACAATTATCTACATATTTCCAAAAGATCACATATGAGAAGAGTTGTTCCAGAGAACTGCTGTGTTTCCTTAAGGCTTTTAAAGTCATTCCCTGGGGATCACAGTTTAGTGGAAACTTGGACTTCAAATCAAAAGGAGTGGAGTTTTAGTTCTAGTTCCCTGATGCTCCAGCTTTGTGACTCAGTGTAGGCTCTGTAGACCTTTATTTCCTCGTGGGCCATTGAGCGTCACCTATCTCATCTATGAAGCTGAGTGAGAATACTGTGTGCACACAACACACACACACACACACCTGCTTGTTTGTATATGCATGTGACTCAGACCGCATTATGATTACTCTTTCCACAGGCCAACCTCGCAATCAATCACCTCTGTTCAAGGTCAGACCGAGGGCAGCCTGAGTCCTCACTGTACTTTTCACAGAGCTCCCAGAGCTCTGAAATGCTCAGCCTGACAGGCGTTGGCTTCCTCATTTCCTCTTGGTCTCACAGCACTCAGGTGCTCTGCGGCTGGGGTCTGTTCAGCCTTCTTAGCTGGGGTAGGGCAGAGAATCCGCTCTTAAGATTACTGGGGGCCAGGGAGATAGCTCAGTAGAATAAGCGCTTGCCTGGCAAGTGCAGGGTCCTGAGTTCAATCCCCAGTACCACAAAAAAAAAAAAAAGAAGAAGAAGATTACTGGATTCAGTCCTAAGAAGCAGCCTTGATCAGAGCCCGGACAGCAAAACAGTAGGGAAATTGTGCAGTTTATAACGTACAGTCCTATTGATGCTTTTTTAGACTTACCATGACCTCACAATATGAAAAATCTATTTAGACCATGCCTAGGGTATGTGTCCACACTAAGGCTAATTTATTTCTCCTATGCTGTGAACCTAGGTTTTTCAGAAGCAGATGGCAGAGTCAGGCTTGCTCACAGAAGGAGAAATGACCTTGATCTTTGTCAACTGGAAGGAGCTCATCATGTCCAACACAAAGTTGCTCAAGTGAGTTGTGCGAGTTCCCAAGTCATCCTTCGCTACAGTTGCCTCCTGTTCCCTCAGGCTTTGCATTCTGTTAGCATTTGGGGACATACTCCCTAGCCACAAAACATCATTATTGAGCAAAATAGAGAAATGCAGCAGAATAATTAAAGACATATTCAAGTTATCACACAAGCCCTATACTACTGTATGGTCCTAAAACATGATTCTAAAATGTACGGCTCTGGCAGAAAGAGAAAGCATCAAAAAGAGCAACTGCAGCTCATGGCCCTGATGTCACCAACCTGTCTGGCAGCCTACTAAATCCCAGTGTGAATCCTGAGCTTGAGTCACTGTCCTCAGATACCCCCACCGCCCCCCTGCCCTCCTTGGCCTGACGGTGGTCCCTGCTCTGCCCAGGCCTCTAGGGCTCCTGTGCCCCTTTCTTCCCTCACAGACTATGGGAATTTCCTTCTTTTTCATTCAGATGAGTTGTTTAGAATTTTTAGAAGAAGGCCAGGAAGATAGCTCAGTAGAATAAGCACCTGCCTGGCAAGCACAGGGTCCTGAGTTCAATCCCTGGTACCACATAAATAAATAAATAAACCTTATGTGTTAGAATTTTTCAGAAGAAACCTTTTCTAAGGATAAGGTGAAACCAAACGAATTCTAAAGGCCCATGACATTCTCGTGCAGAGGCTTCATTTTCTTTTTCTTCTTCCCTAGCATTTTCAGGGATCGGCTCGGCCAGCAGAGCCTTAGCCAACACCATCTCCTGTTCCTCCTGGCATCCCACCCCACTGCCAGAGGTTCCTTTGTGCCCAGTGGTGTCCCGACCACTGATCACTTCAGCACTCATTGTTTAATTGCTGGGGACATTTGCTGAGAAACAGGTGAAAATGTGTCATTCACAGGGCCTTGCGGGTCCGGAAGAAGACTGGGGGTGAAAAGATGCCTGTGCAGATGATCGGGGACATCCTTGCAGCCGAGCTGTCCCACATGCAGGCCTACATCAGGTTTTGCAGCTGTCAGCTAAATGGAGCAGCCCTATTACAGCAGAAGACAGATGAAGATGCAGAATTCAAAGACTTTTTAAAGGTAACTCCACTGGGGGCTCACAGGCGTCTGTGCAGGACTAGCAGGTGAGCCAGCCCGCTGCTGAGACCGGAGCAGCAGCTTACACAGCCCTCGAGGGAGTCAGTAGTGGAAGCAGTATCTCTGGCAAAGTCCAAACAACTCACAAATGTGGCACAGAATTTTCTGATAACTTTGTGTTGCTGGTAGACCTGATTTTTCTTGGCACAGGGACCATGATTTTTCCCATTGCATAGATGAAAGGGGAGGGCATTGATTGATTTCTTTTCTTTTCTTTTTTTTTTTTTTTTTTTTTTGAGACAGAGTCTTGCTATCTAGTGCGTGTTAGCCTTGAACTCACTCACACTCACTACATAGTCCAGAATGACCTTAAACTTATGGTGTGATCTTCCTGCCTCAGCCTCCCAAAGCCTGGCCTGTTTTTGGTTTTTTGGTTTTTTTTGTTGGTGGTGGTTTTGGGGGTGTGTGTGTGTGTGTGTGTGTGTGTGTGTGTGTGGTACTGGGGATTGAACTTGGGCCCTTGTGCTTGCCAGGCAAGTGTTTATTCTACTGAGCCATCTCCCCGGTCCCTGTTTTTGTTTTTAAGCAGATTTGTGAGCTACTTTATTTTCCCAAAAATAATTCAGAATGTCACTAACTTTATTTTGTAAATTATATTTATTTGATAAGCATCTCAGCCCAGAAAAAATATAGCTTACATACATGGATAAAATGTAGTAGGATAGGCTGATTCATAAAGTACCTGGCTGTGGTCCTGTACATCCATCTGAAATGTTCAAGGTCATCTAGGCTTTCAGAAACCAATGTAAAAAGAAGAGTCCATTCCATGAACCATGATCGTAAGTTAACAAGAGAAATAAAACTAGAACTGTATTCAGAAGGAGGACACAATGTAGATAAGCATGCAGTGAATCGCCTACTTCTCCTAACAGTATAGCAGCGAACGTCACACAGCTGGCGATGGGACTGGACAGTCACATTTGGAGAAGTCGTCTTCTTTAATGTGGCTCAGTAACACAGACTATTCTGCACACGTTAGAGGGTGAGGGCAGTGAAGTAAAATCTGCTTTCTTGGTTTGTTTGTTTGTTTCACATTTCCTTATGCTTTTTCGTTCATGAAATATTGTGACCTATTACATAATCTCTTAAGAGAGAATGCTTAACTTAATATTGTCATTATCTAATATTGGAAAAATAATTCAGCATAAAATATAAGATACTTAGAAGAAAAATATGTATGAGATGTTCAGACAGAGAATAAAAATTCTAGAAAGAAAATGGAGAAGACACTAACGTTAAAAGCACAAATGGTATCAATATATCCAAGAACTAGGAAGTTGAAGAAAATTAATAAAATTTAACTAATAAAACAAATAGAAAAAACAAGTCATAATAACAATGGATATATAGATATCTCTTATAGATTATATAATTCAGAAATACATGCTAATAAATGTAAAAAGCTTTAATAAAAATTATAATTTTCTTCCAAAATTTGAAAATTAGTTCCATAAGAATAAAACATGTAAATATGGTGTTAACTAAGGAGATTGAGAAAATTATGGCACAGAAGATCTGGGTTCATTTGATGGACATAATTGTGAATTATTTCAACTATAAAGGAATAGATTATCCATATCATATAAATTGTTACAAATCATAGGAAAAATATGAAAACCACTAATTCATTCTACAAGGCAAAAAATAGCCCTGATCCTAATGTCTGTGTCTGAAGTTCTATTTAACTATGAAATAGTTTTATTTTGTTTTTCACAGTACTGGGAATTGAACTCAGGACCCTGCACTTGCCAAGCAAGCACTTATTCTACTGAGCTATCTCCCCGGGCCCAAAAAGTTTTAAGTTAATATCAAAGTTGTTGGGCAGGGGATGTGGCTCAGTAGTGGAGTTCTTGCCTTAATGCTCAAGGCCTGGGGTTCAATCCCTAACACCACAAAAAAGATAGAATAGAATTATTTCCTTTAAAATTAACAATAAAATTGTTAGACTCTTAATTAAAGTAATAGTTCACATAACTAAGCGTACCTGAGAGTCCATCACCACCTGCAGGGCAACCATTATCTGCTTCCCAGGCAGCTTCTGAAGCCCCCTCTGTCACCAGGGACCGTGTGCCTGGGCCGGTACCCAGCACACCTGTATACAGAGATCATCAGACAGAGCCTCTGAAGGACGTGAGAGCGCAGCACATGATAAGCGTTCAGCACCTGGTCATCGTACTTTTCCTTGTGAGGCTCTTAGATGCAGACGGGTCCGACAGGAGGCAGAGAACAGTGACCTGCAGGGGTGAGAAGCACGGGAGGTGAGGTTGCCTGGAAACAAACTGGAAGAAAGATAGAAACCACAATCACAGAAATAAAACTTGATCAGAATATCTGCATAAATGTAGAATTACTAGCATGTATATTTTAAACAGTTGATAATAGAATTTAAAATAGGACAAGTAGGGCTGGGTATATAGCTTAGTGGCACAAGTGCCTGCCTGGCAAGTGCAAGGTCCTGAGTTTGATTCCCGGTACAAAAAAAATAAATCCATTAAATTAAAGTAAGTTGGCATATAAGACATTGAGATTCTAAAAGGTAATGAAAGATTTTTTTTTATTTTCAAAGTGACAATATAACTAAGATGTCAACATCATTATAATTATAGAATAATAAAAATGTTTACAATCTCATAATGAAAGGCACAGTGTTGGTTTCATCAAGAGGCAAAATTTAAGGAATAAAGCTCAATAGTAGAGCATTGCCTAGCATGCACAAGGCCCTGGGTTTATTCCCCACAAGAAAAAAGGGAGGCAAAATCTAGCTCACAAGTATGGAAATAAAAGTGTGAAGACGCTGGTATAGCAGCACAGAGATCAACACAGGTGCAGATCTCTCCAAAAGCAAAAGGCAGGCTGGGTTTACTAGTCAAAGTGGGGGGATGATGGAGGAAAGGATAGCAAATGCACTTTTAGTCCTTAAATGTCATCATCCTAAAGTACTAGCTCCTCTCTGGAAGTAGTGCCAGTACTGGGAGTACAAGTCAATAAGATGCAGCCTTTGACCTCCTGGCATTCAGTCTATAGGGCTAGAGACACCGTCTTAACCGAGGACGTGTGGCGCATGCTGATGGCAGCCAGAGAAGGTCAAGGAAGGAAGGAGGGAGGGAAGGTGTCCAAGGCAGGGCTGGGCCAGGGTGGGGAACACGACCTGAATTATAAGTAAGCATCATGTGCCACATGAAGAGAGGGCAGCAGGGATAGCACCGCAAATGCTCATTCATTACCTGGTGCGCGCAGGTGCTCTATAAATGGCAGTGATTGTTTCTCATGAAGTAGGGACAGTAGTATCACCAAGTGGGGGTTGGCAAAAGCTGTCCAGAAAACAGGTCAGGAGCTAGTGCCAACTCTAGGGTATGCATGTGAGTAGGTGGGTGTGGAATGGTGCTGATTATTCAGGCAGAGATGGAGGGAGGCAAGATGGCTTCTATGAGGGAAGATGACTTCATTTTCTTCATTTCATGTATTATTGATATTAAAATAGGTTTGGGATGTTAAGTAAGGAGGCCCCTAACATGACTAGGGTAGAGCGCTAGAGAACATCTGAGTCTCAGCTGAAGACACCTGGAGCAGCAGCTACATTGGAGAGTGGGCAAAAACCAGGAAAGCCCATGAGGTGGGAAGGCCTCAGGAGAGAGCTGAGGAAGGAAAGCCATACCTGCTGCCAACAGTTTGTGAGAACAGGCCAGACCGAGAGGCGGCTGCTGGACTTGGCACGTGAGCTGAGAGATTCCTGCTGGTAAACTCGCAGGGTGTCATTTTGGATCTTGAGTTATTAAAAGAAATTTGAAATCTAAAAAGTGGTCAAAGGCAGGAATTATGGCCAGTGTTTTTGTTGTTTTAATCAGGGATAACGATTTTCTAATGAGCCTCTCTGTTGTTCTACAGAAGCTGGCATCAGACCCTCGATGTAAAGGGATGCCCCTCTCTAGCTTCCTGCTAAAGCCCATGCAGAGGATCACCCGCTACCCTCTGCTCATCAGAAGCGTGAGTGCTCAGACCAGCACACCCCATCTAACCAGGAACAGGACTCCTGCGTCACACAGCGACCAGGACCTGAGGGAGCTCCCAGTACCAGCCCAGCCTTGTACCCCAGTGCCCTATGGTCCAGGCTTCTGTGTGTGTGTGTGTGTGTGTGTGTGTGTGTGTGTGTGTGTGTGTGTGTGTGTGTCTGCATGCGTGTGTGTGCCTGCATACTTGCACACACACACACATGCATAGGAACATGTATGTACAGACTACAGGGTTGAAGCCTTTAAGGAAGAAAATAAAGGAGGCATCTGATGGCACTTGGATAACCTGCCATAGTCCTTCCCAGAAACTACCCCAGGATCTACTATCACAGTGCACTTTGGGGCAAGGTCATAGCCCCTGTAGGTGTGCAGTTACTGAAGCTGTCTAGACTCCAGAGATAGTGGGAAGTCCCCCACTAGCATAGCCTGTGTTCTTATCCATCTTCTGAGATCTAAGCTCACATGCCACCTGAACACCTTGATCCAAGTGTCCCAGCAGTCTTCAACTCAGCCTGTTCTCAGTGAGCTGAGGGCTCCTCCACATATCCCACTTCAGCTCGCTGACAGAGCCTCTGTCCTAAGAGTCCAGCCCTCTTCTTTTTGATACAGCAGTGTGGGCATCATGAGGCAGTACCCAGATAATTATTCTATAAACTACGGATAAAGCTTACAAAGAAAAACAGCAGGAACAGTTAGGATTATTGATTATTCCTTGACTTTTGGCCTATAAGCTATATGAACTCAGCATGGACCACATATTATAGATGCCTATGCCAGACCAAACCACTAATACCAGACCTTTCATTAAAACACTGGGTCAGATGTGTTTCAGAATTTAAAATGTAATTTGAGTGCCATATATTTATGACCCCCAAGCAAAACCTGGGGCAGCGCTTATAACAAATAACAACCAAACACTAATATTCCTACAGTGAAGCATGAATAATCATTGAAAATAGAACAAATACATCTCTTCTGTTTAAATCAGGTTTTCTGACCAAATGAGTCCTGAATAAAAACTTGAAGCTTTTTGGATTTGTTGCATCTTGTATTGTAAACAGGGACCATGGAGCTCAGGCTGCAGTGCAAAAGCCTAGACAGAGGGATCACGCATGCTGTGTTCTGGACTCTGTTGACATGTAGCATTACTACTTTGTAGTCACTTCAGAATGAACTAAATGCATGTTTCCTACATACTAATGAAGTGATTTTATTGTATATCTTCTATGGCAGAGAAATCATTGCTTCATCACGTTTGTTCAGGAAGTTAATATATTTGGCAAAATTGCAGCCACTTTGTACTGAAGGGCCCACCCTGAAGGTCCATGACTTCAGTTGTTGGTGGGATAAAGAGAGGCACACCTTAAGGCTGACTACCAGGACCCAGTGAGAGAGCAGCAGATCCATAGAGCACTTGTCACCCTCGTCTGCTGCCTTATTTTTCCCTGGTCTTACCCTGCACAGGCGTGAGCAATCCATAAAGCCCAGGTAGCTGATGTAGGCAAAACACAAAGTGCTTCCCATTGACACCCGTGCTGTCTTGCAGATTCTGGAGAACACTCCAGAGAGTCACGTGGACCATTCCTCCCTGAAGCTGGCCCTTGAGCGGGCTGAGGAGCTTTGCTCTCAAGTGAATGAAGGAGTTCGGGAAAAGGAAAACTCAGACCGATTGGAGTGGATCCAGGCACATGTGCAGTGTGAAGGTCTCACAGAGGTGAGGCCCAGTGCTGATACTGGGTGGGCTCAAGCTGCACACTTCCATGTGCACAGCCCATAGCGTGCTCAAGCTTCACCTTCCTCTACATGCATGGTCTACACCTTACCCAACACCAGCTTTCACACTTCCCCTTCCTGCACAGTCCACACTTCACCCAGCCACATTTCACACTCCTATGTGCATGGTCCATACCTTGAACAACACCAGCTTGACAATCCCACTTGCACCATCTGCACCTTGCTACACCTTGGCTTCAGCCCTTCCCCTGCATGCACAGTCCACACCTTGCTCAGCTTACGCATGCTCCTGGTCCTGCTTTATACAGACACTCCTTGGGTTGTCATCTTTCTGGCTGGTAATGAGACAGTTTGAGGGTTTTGTGTTGAATTCTTTGAATTGAGCTTGCAGGATCAGTATTCTGTGGATATAAGAATCAGTTTCAACTGGGCCACTTCAATCTAAGGTGACTTGCTTCCAGCCACATTCCCAGAATCTATGAGATTCTGCCATAGAATCCTCAGCCTCAGGAAGAACTCTGGATGATTGGTGCTGGGACTTACAAAGTGACATTTTCTTTCTTGTTCAGCAACTTATTTTCAACTCCCTCACCAACTGCCTGGGGCCCCGAAAACTTTTGCACAGTGGGAAATTATACAAGACCAAGAGCAATAAGGAGCTGCATGGATTTCTCTTCAATGACTTCCTGCTTCTCACCTACATGGTTAAGCAGTTTGCTGTTTCCTCTGGGTCAGAGAAACTTTTCAACTCCAAGTCCAATGCTCAGTTCAAAATGTATAAAACAGTGAGTACTGGGAGCCCCGCTGCAGACTTCCTCCTCTCTGAGCCCACCCTGAGGCACTCTACACCTGTCCCAGGTAGCGCATGCTTCCTTAGCCACGTTCCCAGGGAAGGCACCACGTGGCAGCAGGACCAGTTTTGAATTTGGGCTCCTCCTGGCAGTCGTGGCACTTGGTCCCCCTCTGCCCATACCCAGCATTGGGGTCCTCTGTAACCCAGGCGAACAGGATCACTTGCAGAGAAGTCTGTCACAGCAGCAGCTATACAGACTCTGAGTGCCTTCCCTGGTTCATTAACATCCATTCTACCCCCTGGTGACCTTTGCAAAAAGACCTCAGACCCAGGCCCCTGCCTGCTGCAGCACAGCTCTCTGGACACCAGTGAGCAGAATGGTCTGGCCTGTCTCACAGCCTGTGTTTCGGCCCTAATTCTTTCAGCCCATTTTCCTGAATGAAGTCTTGGTGAAACTGCCCACAGACCCTTCCAGCGATGAGCCTGTCTTCCACATCTCCCACATTGATCGGGTCTACACCCTCCGAACAGACAACATTAATGAGAGGTCAGTCCTGACCATTCATGGCCTGCCTTCAAATCTAGGAGAAGTCTCAAACATCTCCCTGTGCCACAAACCTGTCTCTGCCCCTGCTCACATCCTACTAACCACACCCACTCTCTCTATGTCTCCTCTACATCAGCCCCACAGTAGCATATGGTGCACTGTCACATAGCTGCCTACTAGCACATTTCCAACTTCCAGAACCTCTCCACTCCTCAGAGCTCCCCAAGTGGCAGATCCAATACTTTACACCCCAGTACAGCCCCCCAGGGCTATTCATAGGCAGCAGACCACATCCTCTGCTGGTGTCTGAGGCCCACGCCTGCTACCCAGCCCTGGCCCTCCCTGCATCTGAAGCCTTGTGCTTCGCTGGCCATGCTTCCCTCCTGGGGCTCCCACAGTGAGGAGCTCCTTAACACACCTCAGGGATGGAAGCCCATAGTGCTGAGCTATCATCGACGTCATTAATGGATCTTCTAGCTCCAGGTCCTCAGCACCTTGCAAGGACTTGTGGGTTCTCTAAGTGGTCAAGAACTAGATTTAGAAATCCTCACCTCATCCTCATTTAGCAGTCCAGGCTTCCGCTTGAACTAACATTAAGCATATGACTGAAAACTTGCTAAAGAGAAGGGAGTGAATTGCTGGGGCTGGGGGTGTGGCCATACAGCACCTGAGGAGTCCCCCATGGCTGGCTCTGCTTCTCCAGGACGGCCTGGGTCCAGAAGATCAAGGCGGCCTCTGAGCAGTACATTGACACAGAAAAGAAGAAACGTGAGAAGGCCTATCAAGGTACCCAGGTGCCCTGGGGGTTGGAGTGGCTGTGGAGAGCCATGAGAGAGGGTCTGCCCTACCGAATCCCCTGCTGAGGGTTTCAGTCTAAAAGTTTACAGTTACTGAAACCCATGATGGTGTCAGTGTAACGCACCCTACAGTACGGCACACAATACAGATGACAGGCCAAAAGTTCTGCAGTTGAGCTCTGGGATGACCCAGTGTTCTCTGTGGAACAAAAGGCCTCATCTCCAAAAGCTCATGGCTTTCATTAGGAAGGTGAGTGGGGTCCAGGCAGAGCGCAGAGGAAAAAGAAACTTTGCAGTGGTACCAGGCACCGAGGCCTTCCGTTAGCAGTGCAGATAGTTTTGGTGTACGCAAGGCTGGCACCTTTACTGCCAGGAGTAATTGTTTCACTATAGCCAGCTCTAAATAACTCAGAAACTAGGGTGGAGGAGAGGTCAGGGACAGGTTGTGGCAAGGGCTTTGTTTCTCGAGAGCTGTGGTGCTCTAGGGACCCAGGTGCCTGCCCCAATGGTGCCAGTAGGAAGCGCTTGGGTCCTGCCAGCAGCCCGGAGCAGCTCCTCTTGCTGTGCTGTTCCAAATCTCCCCTGCACCCCCAACACAGCTTGGGCTCCAGCTCCAGTGCCTCCCTTCTCTGCCCCTGACTGTTCATTCTGCTATATTCAGAATAATCTCACCTCTGTGGAGACCACCTTGCTCCATGAACTCCACTTTCCAGACTGGGAACACACTGCCCTTTCTCCTGCAGCTGCCTGTGCCCTCTCCCCTTTGGGACCTGCTTCCTCCGCCCCCCACCCTAACCCTGCCCTCACCAGCCTTCTCACATCCACCCTGTCACCATGGAAATGGCTCTGTCAAGGACACCAGCAACCTGACAGGGGCCTGGCCCTCTCCCTGCCTGAGTTCCTGGTACAGTGGCAGGCAGTTGCAGCTCCTCCTGCCTTCTGGACCTGCTTTTATCCCCTAGGTCTTCCTAACCACTAACTCGCAACCTTCTGATTTCATCTCCCTTCCTAGTGCTTCCTCTTCCCCGTTTTCTGGGACCCCACCCCCACCCGCCAAGCCCTCTCCCTTTGCTTTCAGAAGCCCCTCCAGTGGCAGGCTGAGCACTGCCCTTCCCCTGACACCCTGGCCCACAGGCACCTTCTCCCAGCAGAGACTGGACACAGTGTTGCCCACCCTCAGCCTGCCTCAGCCCCCCCTCCCTGCTCTCCTTCCTCTCCAGCAGCCCGACCTTGGTCTCGCATCAGTAGGGCACCACCCACTGTATACCCACCTGCTTCATTTCTGGAGTGTTCTTTGTATAGAGCTGCAGCTCTCTTGAGATCCATTTCACTGCTTAAATTCTTCCCTCTTGCACCCCAAATGAAGGACAGGTTTCTCACAAATAATCCCAGCATTACTGTTTCTCAGGCCCACTGCCCACAGGGTAGGTGCCCTGTCAAGCCCTCCTTCTGTATGCTGCTAGCCCACAGCAGAGACTTCCCGCAACACACACACACACACACATATATATATACACACACCAAAATTCTTCTATTTTACCTCTGGGTTGGACACTGCCTCCTCTGTCACCCTCCCTCAGTACCTAACCAGCGTAACTTCCACCCAATAGCCCTGCTGGGCTTGAGTCTGCAGCAAACTCTCCTGCTGCCCTCTGACCCTCTACCCAGAGCCTTCTCAGCTGACCCCCACTAGAGGCCAGGCTGAGTCTTCAGAGTCTTGCTTCAGCCCTGCCCAGCCCTGCTCACAGCCTCCCTGAGCAGAGGACCCCTGAGCTGCCTCACCTGTCCTTACCTGTCCCCACTCCCCCCTTCCTTGCCCCTCTAGTCCTGCAGAGGCTCCTGGCTGCTGTGTCTGTAGCTCTTTAACCTTTTTTTATTCAGGTTTCTCTTGTATTCTATATTTTGGGAAAGATACATATATAAAGTCAACTTCTGCCAACCGAATGTTACTTCGATGGTATTTTAAAAGCCTGCCATTGAAAATCAATGATTGAATCATTT